TTTCTAAGTTCTGTCTGTTTCTTTATCTGGCCATCGACCGCCATTAGGTAAATATCACTGACTTCCCCCAGACTGATGTGAATCAGTCGACGGTCCATTCCGACCTTCAGTTATTGTGCGGCTGAGCCGGGATTGTGTTTTTCCTCTCTCGGTCGACCCGGAAGCCGTAGTTAGTGGTTGTTTATGTGTACAACAGCACTGAAGGAGTGATTATCAGCACCACAGGAGGTCCGGCTGCCAGCCTGATCTCAACCGAGGAGGCTGTCTCAGTGTCTTATTCCTCTGAGTCAGCACCCAGCCTCGCGTGAAGGCTCAAACATCTCCAAATCCATGTTTGTTCACTGCACCGCTATCCAAACCCATCCTCACCATTACGAGTCACGACTCTCGGCGGTTGCTATGACAACCGTGGCCGGACGCCGTCCGTGCCGAGGAATTCGCCGGCCATCTTTCTGCAGAGCCGTCCTGGCCTTGGCCGGCCATTTTACCGCCCTGCCACGGCTATCGGTTTGTGCAATCATGGTCCCGGACGACCGGCCGGCTCAGCAGCCGGCTGCACGGAACGGCAGCGGCCGTCCGCCCAGGACGTATCATCATATCATCATGTAGTTATCAGGACAGCACAGAACGGCAGTGTCCTGGGCGGACAAGACTGTGTCCTGGCCGGACATCAGTGCGTCTTGGGTGGACATAGCTGGGTCATGGGCGGACATATTGGGTCCAGCGCGAACACAGTAGTGTCCTGCCGGCGGATGAAATGGTGACCTGGGCGGACACTCCTGTCTCCTGGGCTGATAAGATTGGGCCCTGAGACCCCCGTATGGATGAAGCTGTACCCTGCGCGGCCTCTTGTCCTGGCCAAACACTCCAGTGTCATGTACGGACGAACTATGAGTCGAATCGAATTCAATGAGCATGTGTCAGACTTGCTTCCTGAGAAGCTGTATCTTGATCGGAAATAACCGCAATGACGTGCGTGGGCACAGCGGCGTGAGGGACACAACTGCTCTTGCGTGGAAACCGCCTCGTTCTTTGCGGACCAAACTGTGTCCTGCGTGGAAAGCTCTGTGTCCCGCACCGTGGTGAGCTGGCGCGGTCGGCCAGTGCAGTATCGAATACGGAATGCGGTCACGGCTAGAGGAAATGCGTCATCGCAGCAGCGGTTCATTCTCTTCATATGCCGACTGCGTATGCATTGTTACGAGTGCTCACTGACTAGGCTTCCATTCTGTGAAAATTGAACGGATAATCTTATTTGGCAACTGCAAGGACGGTAAGAGGAAGATAATTCTCGATAAATCAAACATTTTATAGTTTTCAGGTATGCTTCGAACCATGAGGCATATTCATTCTTTCGGTGACAAACCCATGACCAATTTGCGCCAGTGCAGTGGCCTCTTCATAGACTCCGATTAGGTAGTCATTTTTCTGCCTGAGACCATGACGCACTAGATCGAACTTGATCGTTGGTGCCTGCCAATGCAGATATAATGCAGCATATACCTACCTATACTAAATTCACTATTTGCAATACATACTGATCGGAGCCGGCACTGAAACATTGTTATTCTAGTATGCTTTTCCACTGAGTTTGCGTTTTAATCGAGTGTTTACCTCGCCGCGTGAGAGCATTCTGAGAACAGATGACGGAAATGTGACGTCACGCCGCCGCTGTGTGTTCTGATGACGTCACAGACAGGCCGCCATCTTTCTTCCTGCTGGGAGGCGGAAGGACTCTGGTCTTGAGGTCGTTTGTTTGTTCCTTTTCCTGGCGACGCACAGAGCTCACTGCTTATTTGAAAGTGCCACCGAAGTAAAGTATTTCCTTTCAAATCGCAAGCTTGGCAATATTTTAGGTAAAGGCTCAATAATGTATAGATAAGGTATTGGCTGTGATGCATCTACCGTCCATGCGTATTGCGTTGAACAGCTGTTCACGTAGTTTGACACATGCACATAGCGGCATTCATACAATCACACATTGCTTTACACGAATTAGTCCCTTATATTCTAAGGACCAATATTTATTCCACTTATCCAAACAAAGTTTACCATCACTTGAACTCAAACAGCCTTACTTCAATTGTGAACCCGCTAACCACTCCCCAAACAACAAAACCAAACATCCTGCGTCGGCGTCCGCCGCCTGACCGTGTGTCCTTCGTCAGAGTACCGGTATCCGCTCACCTCTGACTGACCCCCGGTATGAATGCACCCACGGCTGCTCAGGTGGTCGACCCTTCCCACCCTCTACCTCCCACCCCATCCCCAGTCACGCTCACTCAATGTTCAGCGTCTCTCCTGTGCAGAGGGCGGGCTAAGGCAGGAGTGCGGAACGGGACGGGTCGGGAATCTCTTTGTGGGCGCTTTGGGCTCTCCCATGAGCTCGGCTGGCTGGGTAGACGGTAGAATAAGATCCTGATGAAGATCTTGACGTTCATCTCATATCCTGATGTTGGTTTTGACATTGAGCCCGTTTGCTACGCTGATAAGAATATTGCTTACCGATGGACAGCTTTGCGATGTAGGTGGAATTTGGCAGCCGAAGACTTCTTCATTCGATTCATTTGGTTTAACGATTTACTTGCTGATGCATGCATACATTTCTTGGGCACTAATATCAGAGCCTCCTACGTAAAAAAAACGAAGTAATAACTTTGTTTCAATGCTTGTAATGGTTTTGAATATATTGATCTATACTCTAAAGATGTTAGATTAACAAAAAGCAGGACTTATATGATAAAGGTAATGATTTAATAAGTATTTTAGCGCTTCTAAACTGTGCTCAGAAGAGTCGCAAGTGGAACACTTACAGCAAGGTATTATACTTCTTTGAACGGGACAACGGTGATCTCAGCTGTGAAAAGAGCAATTAACGCCGTCTCCGGCCTAGAAGGCTGAGCTCCGCTGTTTGAATTGTGTCTGACCAGCTAACACAATACCTGTGGTCTTCAGGTAATGTTCTAGTGCAACGCAAATCCCACCAAATCGTGTACTTCACCACCAAATCGCGAGATTACGAAGCTTTGTATGTTATTAAAATGGTTTTAAACGTCAGGTTAAATTTAGACCAGTTGTTAAGGAGTGCCGCTTCAGATAACTTTATAAAACAGTCCTTAGCGTGACGTTTGAAGCGAAGCCGTTATGATCATGAAAAACACATTATGCAAACATTTCTCAAAATAGCCGAAACGGAGTGTGTGCCATACTGCTCTTTCAGCTCTTGGTTCTTGGTGTTAACAAATCTCTCTTTTGTTCACAATACGGTGACCTGCCAGTGTTCGACTCTGCTTAGCAGCCGTTTAAATTTAAATTCCCTGCGACTGACCCAGCTGAGACGCGAGTAACCTGGCACACTCCAACGGCCGTCTCCTAGCCGTCGGCGCCCGTCCGCCAACCACCTTCCATATATGGCCCTGACCGGTAACTCACGGTCACCCAGTGTTCGGACGCAGCTCTGGTGACGTCATTGGCGGCAAACTCGTCTCACCTGGTATTATATCGCACCCCTGCGCGGCCCCGGGTCATCAGTGGGCCGGGGGAGTGCTCAGGGGTAATGACCCCACCATGAACTGGGCCGGTGGTACAGTTTTGACCCCTGATGAGTATCCGGAGGGCAGAGACGAGGACTTCCGGTCAGGGAAGGGGGGGGGGGACGCGTGTTTGAAAACCGCGGAATGTCGGCTGAGTGTGTGTGGGGAGGAGGAGGGTAGTGGGAGAGAAGGACTGAGAAACATCGGCTGTTCTTAGAAAAGGCAACGCCACAATGTCTTCTACGCTGATTTATACTATGAAGCATTGGATGACAGAGACTGCGTAACATTTCCTTTTTCATGTACTGCCTTTGTGCTTACACGCATTGCCATGTACGCATTTCAAGCAGAAAGAGTATCAGACTATCTGTGGGACTTTGCCCTCCTTCAAACTCCTTTTCCCATCTCTATATCCTCCTTTATTTTTTATCCCAAGAATCTCCTATTTATGACCCATATCAAACTCATGCTTATGATTACGCAAACTAGTCAATTGATGAGAAGAAAATAAAGCACTTATTGGCAAAAATAACAAAGAAAAATAACAAACAATAGCAATCCTGCTAAGAAGGGGACTCGAGGGCGTGAAATCAGCAGTCGACTCATAAGTGATTTGCACCGTCTGACTCGATTGGATTTTGTATGCGTGGACGGTGGAGGTGCCGGGATATTTCACATTCTTGAGCACACTCTCATCCAATATTCCTTTGACCATGAGGTGTCAAACCACAAATCGATACCAATCATGACGTCACCAGTCCGACGCTTCTTCTTCAGCTCCCATTAGCCCGAACCGTCATATTCCGATCTCATCCCTGTCATTTCGTTCTAATCTTGCTCCGGCTCAAAGCGTCTTGCTGTGTCGTGCCATGAGCCGTTACGTCACAAACCAAGGCATGCTGTGACGCATCACGCCCTTCGCCTGACGTGACCTGGCTACCTGACGTGACGTGGTTTAGACGTGACGTGACGTGGCGAGCGCTCCGCCATCCATCTCTGATCCATCGGGGGTGAATTGATGAGGCGTCACCGTATTATCATAATGCGGGACTGGCGTGGTGTGAGAGGCAGATGACCTTGTCTGCTCCGAGTGGCACCTCTGGAGCCGAGACGCTCCTCTTTCGAGTGGCATCCTCAGGAGAGGTGCCACTCCTGTTCTGAATGGTTCCTGGAGCAGAAATGGTAGAAAGAGCTTCTCGCTCCGCTCCGACCATTAGGTGATATAATTTTGTATCGAATGCTCTTAACTCCGTTTCTGTCTAACTAAGTATACCTGTACTACTGTCAGTCTGTCAGTCCCATGTTCTCGTATCTTCGGTCTCTGTCTGTCCGTCTCCGGTGACCCCAGTTTGACCCTACGACCCGGCTAGATGCGGCCCTTCCCCTGTGTGGGTGTCGTCACGGCCGGTACGAAGGCCGCCGTCCTCCTGCGCTCTACCGCTAACTCCTCTTTTCTGTCTGTTACAGGGCTCCTTCATATTATGTAAGGAGCACCCAGAGGGTCTTCGATCAGATAGTGACACAAGGCCTCAAAACTAAGGTGAGTTGCTTTGAGTCATGCGTGCGTGCATGTGGACTAAGAAGAAGAGCTGTGATACATTGGACTATGACGCACGGCCTGGAATTCGTTTTCTTCTTGCATTTCCACCTATGATTATTTTCTTTTTTACTTTGATTAATGACAGTGCTTATTGGTCATCTTATATCATTTGACGTATCGGAGCAATACTAGCTTCTAGTCTTTTCTCGTCTCTATTGAATTCCTCTCTTGTCTTCAAACGCCCGTGAAAACGCACACACTTTTCTTTCATGCTAAACGCACGAATGAATGTCGATTTTTCCCACGACAAATCCGCTTCTGCTTCCGGTCATGTCTACGGATCGTGTCACGGTGGAGGTGAATGGGCGTTTTCGCGCCACTGCGACAGCCGGCCGCCCCTCCCCTCCCCCTCAGTGTGCGTGTTTTACACCCCTCAGCTGTCAGCCACAGCGGTCCGCGGGCCGGCTAGGAGCGAAAAAGGCGTGCTCCAGCCACTATCGAAGGCCAATCTCACAGCTAAATCCATTTGCAACGCGTGGTTGCACGCTCGAAGGCCTCCCCTTTACACGAGTGAGATTAGCCGTATTTTACCCAATCGCCTGTGCGGTTTTAGGAACGGTTGGTTTATTGATGTTGATTAGTTTCTACGCGACTTTGCATCGCTTCTGCGTTACGTTTAATGGCTTTCTATGTTCCCCACATCATAAGTGTCGAGCTCGGCCTTCGCCAACAATTAATTAGCCTTGCCTTCGCTAGATGATCTCGTTCGCCATACAGCTGTCAGCGTCTTTGTAGCAGCGTTTGGCCGCCTGGAGCAACACAAAAGGATGATAAAATATTTATTGTCGCACTCGCATGAGCACGTTTGTTTCCTGATTCTATAAGCTAAATATGTCGCCAAATTTCGGTCGGAAGTTACCTGCGTCGACTGCAGCTGTTGATCTCAACAGGTGCGCCAAGAGTGACCAGACTTGAATCACAAACAACCCCCGCCATCTGCATCGGAGCCTCGCGTCACCAGCCTCCCACGCTCATACCAGTCAATCCTGCCAACCACCGCCAACGCTCCGGCATTCCGGCCCTTCAGGTCTGTTTGCAAACGACCGGCTGCCTAAGTCTCTCGACTGTCAATTTGTACGACGTTTGGTTTAGCCGCCCATCCATCCCTCCTGAGACGCCGCCACCGCCTTCGCTAGCCGCCGCCGCCGTCGCCGCCACCGCCGCCGTCGCCGCCACCGCCGCCGCCGGTCCTCGACGGCCGGGCGGTGAGCGGACACGACGCAATCCGCTAGACTGTGCAAGCGGGCGGCGGGCCGCCAAGGCCGCCAGCCGCTGACCTCGCCGCGCCAGTGGCGGCGCCAGGCGGGTCGACAGGGAGGGCGACGGCACGGTATGGAGGCAGAAGCGGAGGAAGGAGGGGTGAGGAAGACACGAGGTGGTAGGCAGAGGTCAGGGTCACCCAGGGCAGCAGGGTGGACCGGAGCGTGGGAGAGGTAGTCGCTCGCCTGGCGCCGCCCCTGCGATGGTGAAAGGCCCGAGGGCGCCGGCGACGCTGCACCGAGTCGACGGACATGAACACGGTTTCGAGGGCGGACTTGTCGTGTTCCTGGACCAGGGTCGCCTACATGCACTGGTCGGGCGAGTGATCATTCCTCAGCCTCGCCCGCATGCAGGGACCGCTCCGAACACCCCAGGTGTATACGGGCGGGGAGGGTCGATCAATCTGCATCCCAGTAGCGAGTTCCAGGGAGAGGGTGCTCGCTCGCTGCCCCGATCGAGTGGTATTTCCGCGGTATCGGCCCATCATCTCGTCATTCGAGCCTACCTGGAACCTGCAGCCGCCCCGGCAGCCGGCGGCTGGGGGAGTGGCTGGATTTGGCAGCGCACCAGCAGCCGATGGCGCTGCCACATACCGCCTCTGCAGACCGGCGCTGCCGGCCTGGCGCCGAACTTCCCCGTTCAGACTTCCTTGTCCACTGCTCAGGCCGGTCTGACTGCAAACTGTAACCATGGTGTGCACTGCGCAGCACACAGGCAGGTGGTCAGTCTCTGCACTCAGTTCGACTCATGTTTATAGGCGGTATGATGTACCACCCCGTTAGCTTGCGGTACAGTCGATCTACATACACGTGCAAATTAGCACAATCACCTGACGCATGTGTTGCTGCTGTTCTCAATAGGCCTCAAAATATGCTCAACTACCGGTCGGAGTTCAGAGTCGACTGGTTTGGGTGAAAATGTCGTGATCGAAAATCGACAAACGTTCGCAGACCGGCGACATTCCTGGTGCAGCAGACAGGCTGGTTTCACCAATAATCGCTGTCGATAACGGGATTGATATTTCACCGGCACAGAAAGCCTACCGACCAATTATATTTCATTGGCGCAATAATAAATAAACGGCATTTTAAAGTGAACACAACATTGATTATGTTGCCGTTAGCAAAAGTACATTTCCCGATGGCCGATATAGACGGCTATTGCCACTTATGCTCTGCGCAGGTAATATAACTATAGCCTATACGAACGATTGCTTGCTAGTGATCAAACGTTCTTTTGGTATCTCCCTCGTTTTCTGCAAGTAGCGCGTCGATGAAGGCACATGCGTCCAGACCAGAGCAAGTACGAATATGATGCCCTTTCTTTGGAAAATTTGTCATGAAATGCTATTTTCCCGCTTGGTAGGTATGCGCGGGCGCCAGCGATGACGGTATCAATGCTCCGATCATGACTGCCGGTGGTGTACTTTCACATCACCCCGCACTAAGGTCGTTCCCGACTTACGTCATTGACGTTCCGTTGAACTCGGGCCGGTGGGAAACTGACGGTCGGGTCTCTGTTTTACAGATGGCGTCATCTGTCCGCCTTCTGGCAGCTGCAGCTTTGCTGCTCTGCCACCAGGTGGCAGGCCAGACCGAGGAGCTCGGTCCCAACTACATCGGCGAGGAGGGCAAGCCGCCGCTGCCCGAGACTGCACTGTGAGTAAGCCTAGATACAGGTGACCTGATGCGGCATCAAAATCACCGCCGCTTCACACTTCAGTTGACAAAACTATGGGCAATGTTCTCGGGAAATTAGACACACCCCTTCCATTCTTGGCTACATCGAAAAAGCTATTTTGTCTCGATAAATTGTTCGCTAAATCACCGTTCCCTGTTTCCATCCTCAGGATACAAAAATCCTTCTCCTCCACGACGCAGTCCCCCTCCGGGCTGGACAGGCAACTTTATCTCATGCGGGCTGCTCCCTTGGAGCGGCACCGCTGCTCCCGAGGGAGCGCACCCCGGTCCGTAGCCGAGTGCAGGGAGTACTTTGGGGCTGGGTGGCCTGTCCTCTGGACGGGCTCAGCCCCGATGACTCACTATTGTGCCTGCCCAGACCAATGTCTCCCCCTAATCCTCATAATGCTTCCGGCTCTGAAATGGTCTAATTGGACCGAAATGGCCTAACCCAAGAAAAAAAAAATGTTTGCTACCTCGAAAAGGTCGATATTTAGGTTTGCATACGAGTATACGTTCGCAGTAGTCCAAAATGTAACAATGGTGCCCAATCGGTCCCATGAAAAGTGAAGGGGTACAGAATCGTGATAACAGCCCTAAAAGTGCCGATAGTAGACTCGATCAATGTCTTGGAATGACATCAGGGTTATCTGTCTAGTGTCTTGTTTTCACCCTAATCGGTAGATAAGCCTCAGATTAGCCTCAACATTGCCTTCAGCTGACACTTGAGCATGAATCATACCCTAATGGCCAACCGATCCGTTTAACAGGCTAAACGGCAAGGTGGTCGAACTGGACGAACTGGGTGACATCATCTACCTGAACCGGAGCAGCGCCAACCTCAACTGCGCCGAGGGCAAGATGCAGATCGACGTCAACTTCAAGGAGCCCTTCAACGGCATCATCTACGCCAACTTCGACCGCACGTCTCCGTGCACGTGGCAGGGGGACGGCGAGACCAGCTACCACGTGGAGCTGCCCCTTCGCGGCTGCGGCACCAAACAGGTTCGTGGTCACCTTGCTTGAGATATACACGACAGTGACTACACTTTACACGTAGTACGATAACGCAGCCTTACGGTCATTCACTGTAAATGTAGATTTCTCCGCTGGGTGTAATCACCACACGCTTTGGGCTATCTGCTCACTAGCCACTCGAGCGAATTCCTTCCGTCGTGCTAACAGCCCTCCTCTCGTGCCATCAGGGCCCGGCCCGCGTGTTCACCAACAACATCATCATGCGGTTCCACCCGCACCTGGAGTGGGCCGGTGACGAGGTGGTGACGATCGTCTGTCGCTACCCGCCGCCGATCGCCGCGCCTCCCGTGGCCGGGCTGCCGTTTGTCGCTGGACCGCCCGAGACGCCACTGACGCCACTCAAAAAGATCGGAGAGGCCGACATCATCCTCATCATCTGCGCCATCCTCTTCCTGGCGCTGCTGCTGCTCGGACTCGGCTTCGGCTATGCGTGCCTCAAGAAGAGACGCATCAGCCTCATCAAGAACGTGCCGCTGGAGACGGCGCCGCCCTCCGAGTCGTCGATCTACTCTCCGGGAAGTGTGATGCCCATCTTCGACGGGCTCAAGATCCCGCGTGCGCACGCAGTGCCCATCGTGGACGACGTAAGTGATGGCGCGATTTCGGGACGTTCAGAAACATCGAATGATGCAGTGTTCATATTCATAGAGTTAGCATTTCTCTGTTATTATGAGCTACTGAAGCGTGTCAACGATTCTCAACATAGGATATTTTAAAAATGCCATACATTTAGATCCTAACACCTTTCCCTGATAACTTCTCAAGAGACACATGCTGGGGTACCCACATCGCGTTTGGCTCACCTCCTGCCTCCTGTTCTCAGGTGACCAGCTCTGAGACGGTGCCTTCCGACTACAACTGTCTGACCTCCCACCCTCGTTCTCAGGTCACCAGCTCGGAGACCCTGCCGTCCGACTACCCGTCCGAGTCGCCGAGCACAGCTCACTCCATGATCGACGATGTGGAAATCATCCCTCCGCCTTCGGTGGGTCCGCCGCAGCAGACGCTGGTACCGGCCGGCGTGCCGCCCGCCGGGGTGCCCAACCACGCCTACCTGATGACGGAGGAGCTGCTCAACACCACCTACACGGACAAAATGGTCAGGGAGGAGGTCGACATCCACCGGCAGCCCAACCTGATGAAGAAACAGCCGAGTACGTATGACGAGGTCGCCAGACGCCACCTGTCGTCTAGGATCAGCACAACTTGATTCTTGAATATCATAGCTTAGCTTGTCCTTCAGTGTTGTCGACGGATATGTCAGATGCAATTGCTAGGTGTCTGTTCAATGTTCGAACGTGTGTTTTTCGTGAAACAGGGCTACTAAATGTTCAGATGATTGGTAGGCGAAGCTTCAAAACGTATGAAGCAAAGCTGGAGAAATCCTTCAAGCTCCAGCGTCCCCGGCTGCCCAGTTTCTAACCGGTCTCTGTCTCCTCTCCACAGACCCGGAGGCGCTGCACGCCGCCGAACAGCAGCTCACCACCATGCTGACCACAGCCGACCGGCGCTACAGCGAGTCCCCGGAGCCTCCTGCGCGGGCCGACGTGCGCCACGTGCAGGCTGAGCTGCACACGCCGCCACGTACCGCGCCGCCGCCGACCATCAGCAGCGAGTTCCGCGTGCACCAGCCGCCGCTGCCGCCGCCGCCGCCTTCCGAACCGGACACGGTGGCCTCACAGGACGTCATCGACCACACCGAGCTGGAGACCCTGGAGATGCCGCCACCGCCGCCTCCGCCGCCACACAAGCCGGTGCTCACCTCCCAGACTGTAGACGACCGCATCCTGTCCACCATCACCGAGACTAAGGTGGGTCTTCGGGGAGGTCAGCTGATATTTCTTAGAGAGGTCATGTAGGAATCGTGCAAGTCCTTAAGGACGTGTAGATCAAATGACATTTATAATGTAGCACGAGTATGTAGCACAGACAGACACATCCAATGGCTGTGACTAATAGGAGAGTGATTTTGCTTCGACCCAGCAGGTTGGAATCCTGTAATTACGTTGTAAAGCTTCACATCTATCGACCGCTCATTATGAGCAACGACATGAGTAACGACAATGGAATTATCCTCAATTAGACATTGCGCCGCTGTAAGGACTCAAACAGTTCACTATGACGAAAAGTTATTCAGGAAAACTGGTTACTCAGGATGTGGCTTACTTGGACGGTTTTCCTCCTTTTGTTTTCATTAAAAGGCTATCTTACCTTGATCGTCATATGTCGACTTTAAGAACATGAACAAAGTATTGCAGGCACGTGGGTCCGGGTAGGTGATTAGCTGATTTTGTATGACCATCAGTGGTATTAAGCTCCGGCCACAGATGTCTTGTGGTAGGAATCCACTTTGAAAGGGACATTTAAACCAGAAGTTAATAAATTACGGGGTTTCAGCGCATCCCAGCAGTTTCCGGTAACGCTCACTTGTTATCTCCTTCCCGTCACAGGTGTACGAAGACATCGAGCGTCGTCGTCGCGCCGTCAAGGAGTATTACGAGCGCAAGCAGCAGGCGCTGCCGCCCGACTGGGACGTGGAGATCCGCCAGTACCCGCCGCCGGAGCGTGACTTCCCTGACACCGCCTCCTCCCACTGGGACGATTCGTCGGTGGGCACAGAGGTACCCCCTCTTCCGGGACTCCACGCCGCCCGTACCGCCTTCGAGACTACCGACCACCACTTCTCCAGCACTGACCAGACCTTCATGACTTCGACCACCTCGCGCACCGGTGTGGACGTCACGCGCTCGGCCACGTCCGTGGCCGCTCCGCCGCTGCCGCCGCCGCCGCAGCCGCCGAGCCCGCCGGCTCTGGAGCGCGCTGACGGACCCGAGGAGCCGATCCGCCCACTGCGCCGCGAGATCACCCCGCCACGACGCAACCCACCCTCGATGGACGTGCTGATCCGCGTGCTGGAGGCCCCGCAGGAGTTCGACGATCGCCTCAGCGTGCTGACTGATGACGACCGCGAGACGCTGCGTCAGCTCATCACCCGCGAGGAGACGTTCCGCACCATGCTGACTGAGGCCCGCGTCTACCAGGACTTTGAGCGCATCCGGCAGGACGAGCGGTTCGCGCGCGTGCTGTCGGCACAGAAGTGGGACGTCATCATTCGCGTGCTGGCTCCGCCGCCTCTCGAAGTGACTCCGTCCGAGTTCTCTGAGACGACGCGCGCGCCGTCCGAGGTGACCGACTTCTCCGACATTCCCGAGCCGCCACCGGAGCCCAGGATCCACAGGTCAGTAGGGATACAGATTCTGCAAGGTTCACATAGTTCATCATTCTTGGGTGCTAGATAGAAGGGAGCGGAGTCCATATACAGGGAAAGGCCACTTGATTGGGTATGAGAAAATGCTTTGGATTAGCAAAATAGCAGTGATGCTTGATCGCATGCATGGCAGTTGACTTGCATCGCAGGTCTCTCAAAGCAAACAGATCTTGCGTAGTCAAGAGACAAATCCCACTTCAATGCCTTGCTAAACACAGCGCGAGGAAACGCTGTCAGTAAATGTTATCAGCATGCTGTGTCTAAAACGTGTTCCATGCACACCAATCATCACGTCCTCTCCGCGTTTCCGCAGATACCGCAAGACATCTAACCAGCTGCAGCAGTTGCCGCCTGTGTACGAGTACGAGACTGGGCCTGGTCGCCCTCCGCGCTCCGGACCCGGCAGCACCCGCTCTCACGTCACCACAAGGTCAGTGGAGGGGCAGCTATGGGTCGCTGACAGTTAGGGTGCACACTGCACAGGGGCCAGGGCTCGGCCATGCTGAGTATCACTTGACGACTGTTTCTTCATGGCTGATACATTGTCAAATATGAAATGATTGACACTATTTGACGTCATTTTCCGAATTGCTATGCCATCACACCTGGTGAGAGCAAAATGACCCTCACCTGGTGAGAGCTATGTCTGACCCTCCTCCCTCCGGTTCCCCAGGTCGAGCTACGGCGGCGACGTTCGTTCCATGACAGAGGAGATGGTCTCCTTCCACCGCTACCAGCCGGACGAGTGGTCTGAGACAGACACCGCTCCGAGGCCCCTCTCCATCGACCCGTCCGACGGCGGGCCCCTGCAGGGTGCCACTCAGAGGACTTACTTCGAGAGCCACCAGGAGGTGGACCTGCCGGGCGGCGGCCAGCGGCGCTACTTCGAGAGCCACCAGGAGGTCAGTGCCCGCGGCGCACCGTCCACCATCGGCGACCGCGAGGAGGTCTACTCGATGGCCGAGACAGACGTCGACTGGCAGAGGAGGTAGGCTGGAAGCCTCGAGGCGGATGAAGGAGGAGCGAGGCGAAATTAGAGTTCATTCACCGCAGCTGAGGAACTGCCGCAAAAATGGGAAAAAGTGAGGAGAAGGAAGAAGTGTCGGGAGAACCCGGCAGGAACCGGTCGGAGCTGCCCAGCGCACGGGCAAACCAACTATAACCACGCCATCTGGCGGTGACTCGCCGTCTCGTACTAATCGCAATTTAACCCGGTGCTTGGCGTAGAAAGCTGGAATGTGAGTGTTCGATAGGTTGTTTGGTGGTGGCGGCCCGCGCGTGCGCACCGGCGCCGGACTGACCGCGGGGCCGCCTCACGCCGCTTCTAATACTGTGATAACGCGCGGGACGCGTGGAAACTACGAGCGTCTGTGTCAATGAGAGATGGCACCACTGGCGTGGAAAAGATGGCGCCACCACTGCGGCGATAGATGACGTCACGATTGAGGCGATAGATGGCGTCATTATCGCGCCCTGAAATGAGCTCTCCTTTGCGGCGTCAGTGTCGGCGCGAGTGGACCCGACTGCCTGTGTACTAATGATCTCGGTAAGAGGACGCCAGCGTGCCGCTGAGGTCATCGCCAGGCGGCGCTGAGAGCCGGTTAACGCGGTCATCGACAGTTACCTGCCGCTCAGCCCGCCGGCAGATGGCAGCAGTGGCACCTGGTCGTCAACCCTCGTGTCCGTCTAACACCGCTAATGGTAGAATAGAACTCCAGCGGAGTTTGCCCACCGTTCTGAGTCGCGAGGCAGCCGCGGGCCTCCTGCAAAGCCGCCTGGCGGCAGCTGTAGGAATTATCCCCCGCCGCTGCCTCGCGACCCAGAATGTCATCTGGCGTCTGATTCGTCCCCATAAGGCCCCAAGTCTGAAAATGGTAGGGGCGTGATTTTGAACGAACCACCTATTGCTGGGACGAGTCAGTCGCCGATTACTGCGCGCTGACTCATCGTACCTATACGATTTCTGTGCGTTTGATAACTTTTCACAAAGAGTGTAGCTGTGCTACAGAATGTCTGAAGTGGAACTAGCCAATGATGATGAGAGAGAGAGAATGTATAGGACGCTGTGACAGTGCGCTGCGTGGGCCAACCTCGCTGTAATGCCTTATCGATATATCGACCAATAAATACACTATCGTTCGCTAACACTCCCTCATCACTGTGCCAACTGCGTTAGGAAAAACTGAACACCCGATGCTTGTAAAATGAAGAGAACTGGACGAGGATTAGGCCTGCTTCACTTTATAGTTCATTCGGCTTATGTATTGTGAATTTTTGAATAAAGGTGTCGTTTGATTATTTCTTAGACTCCACATTGGGGCCCAATCTAAAATAAAAATATAAATTCAACGATGTTGTTCAATTAATCGTGCTGACAAACTTTCAGCCATCTAGTAGGAGGAAACGTTTTTGTACTTGTAAGCCACCTAGTGCTACCACATGCCAAGCTGAGACTTCTGGGTTTCCACACTGCAAGCTGCAAGGCGGGGGGACGGGGGATAAATCCTTACCGTCTATGTAGTTTCGGTCTTGGACCACGTAGCGTCGAACACTAAGCGACGCTCCATCGATATTACCTATAGGCCTCTCCGTTTTTTTTTTTCACGAACGGGCTGCGCAAAAGCGCTGCAACGCGATGGAACTTTTCAATATCCTCGAGAGGTTTTTAGTTTATTTTACATCCACCCTCAAAATTTAACCTTCGCCGGCACAGGCCATTTTGCGTCCTTCGACGGCACAAGGGGTGTTCCGGGGTGTTGGTATGACACCCCCCCCCCCTCGCGTTTGGCTCCTGATAGAGCTAGAGCTTCGCGGAAAAAACGAGCTTGTTGCCCGTCACGAGAGGAAGCCGATGATACCCAATTTTAAGGTCCTAGGTCATCGGGTGACCTTCCAGATCAGGTCAATGACCCAAAAACCGGGAAAATCGGGACTTGTTAGAAAGTCGTAAAGTGTGGCTGCTATGTGGTTTTCCGGGGTGCTGATCACGAATATCGTGTTAGTTTTGATCAGAGATGATGTCTTTAAGCATTTAGACCAGGTCTGGTCAGGTCAGGTCAGGTCAACCGGTAGGGGTTGTGACGAGTATTCGTAATACGTGTCAACCGCCTCTGACAGCTTCGTAACATGTTACGAAGGCACCAAAACTACTTCGTAAATGTTCAAATGGTTTCTAAATTCGAATTCAGCTCCAAAAACTAGCCCAGAAACATGTAAAACTCGAAAAAGTGAACCGAGGTCACCCGAGGTCACCAAAGGTCAATGACCTGACCTGACCTTCAGGTGACCTTGACACCCACCCTAATGTGTGGGAGCAGCATCAAATAACATGTTTGGACGTTTGAAACCACGAAAAGCTTGCAAACGCGCGGCTAATGCGAGCCGACATACGCCGAATCGCGATTCCGGCCAAACATGGTCTCCGAAAAGAGGTCACAGGGTCATTTGGGTCAGGGTCATGAAATTTTCAGGGTAGGTGTAAAATTGATCAATGCGAGGGTACTGAAAATTTCGTCGCGATCGGCCGCTTTTTATGCGAGTTTTTCGCGAAAAACCTTAGGGAGGGTTGCATCAACCCCCCTGTGCCGGCGAGGGTTAACCCTTGCCGGCACAGGGATTGTGGGGGGGGGGGGGGTTGATGCTGCATCCTCTAAGGTTTTTCGGAGAAAGCGGCCGATCGCAACGAAACTTTCAGTACCCTCGCATTGATCAATTTTACACCTACCCTGAAAATGTCATGACCCTGACCCAAATGACCTTTGACCTGTGACCTCTTTTCAGAGACCATGTTTGGCCGGAATCACGATTCAGCGTATGTCGGCTCGCATTAGCCGCTCGTTTGCAAGGTTTTCGTAGTTTCAAACGTTCAAACATGTGATGTTGCTCCTATACATTAGGGTGGGTGTCAAGGTCACCTGAAGGTCAGGTCAGGTCATTAACCTTTGGTGACCTCCGGTGACCTCGGTTCACTCCTTCGAGTTTTACATGTTTCTAGGCTAGTTTTTGGAGCTGAATTCGAATTTAGCAACCATTTGAACATTTACGAAGTAGTTTTGGTGCCTTCGTAACATGTTACGAAGCTGTCAGAGGCGGTTGACACGTATTACGAATACCCGTCACAACCCCTACCGGTTGACCTGACCTGGTACCTGACCCGACCTGGTCTAAATGCTTAAAGACATCATCTCTGATCAAAACTAACACGATATTCGTGATCAGCACCCCGGAAAACCACATAGCAGCCACACTTTACGACTTTCTAACAGGTCCCGATTTTCCCGGTTTTCGGGTCATTGACCTGACCTGGAAGGTCACCCGATGACCTAGGACCTTTACCCGCGCACCGACGGGGGGGGCGGATATCCGCCCCCCTGAGGTTTTTCGCGGATAGCGGGAAAACCGCGGCGCTACACCGCGGCGCGTAGCGCCGCGAAATTTGGGATGACTATTCTCTCATCAATTTTACACATGGTGTGCAAGTTTGAACCTCCTAACTTTTAAGCTCAGGTCACCAGGTCCATAGAGATATTATATACATAGAGATGACACGCCTATGTTAAAGCACTTGATTTCGTGGCGATTCAGTGGGTCTTTTTAAGCAAGGTTTTCTGGGGTGCCATGGCCCGTGACTTGCATTTTGTAAGGATTCGGTCAAGGAGATTGTGTTCACATCCGCTTATTTTTAAGTACAGTTTTTCTTTTTTGTCTAGCTGTGACGCTTTCGAGCATTATTATTGAAATGAAATTAGGCATGTTTTAACCTTATGCTCGTATCAGGTACTGCATGTATCATTAACCCTCGCCGTCCGACGGAAGGGGGGGGGGGGTGCCGCCTCCCTATAGGGGTTTTCACGATAGCTCCGAACACGCAGGCGATAGAGAGCTGAAACTTGGCATACCTGACCTTTGATCCAAGCCGCATCTTGTGACACCAACCGCATTTTCAGGTCAGGTCAGGTCACTGAACTGTGACGTCATAAGTGAACCTCTGCACAGTCCTCAGATGTCGCAACTTCGCAACGCCGTCAGTGCCAGAGGAGCTTTCACAGGGAGATGAAACTTACAGGATGTAGTATCATCCAGGGGTCTCACAACTTGTACATATATCTCGGATTTTTCCTAAAAATCACATGAGGTCAGGTCGGCCACGTGACCTCACCATTAGGTACCTATAAGTCAATGGGGAAAATGAAAACTGCTATGTTAGCCCCGAGAACTATCTCAAACTGTCTCCAGCACATGGAATCGTGATTTCTAGCACGTCTTGCAAGGTCAGATGCTTCACTTTTGCATTGTTGACATTGCGTGGCGTCATTTATGGTCACTTGGGTCATTGATTAAAGAAAGCGCAGTTTTGAGGCTCATGATTACATACTCGTATAAAACTGCAATGAAAACCGTAAGACGGTTTGACAAATGTCAGTTTGTCAGTTTGGCCAACATGTCTTATTTTCTTGGCCCTATTTTGAATATAATTATTAGCATGAGGCTTACGGTTTTCATTGCAGTTATATACTTGGGTCATTAGAGTTTTTCATCAATAACTCCTTATCAAATTGAGTTAGCGAGTCGGGAAAACCACCAATAAACTCAGGAAGACCTGCCGATTCGAGTAATATGTAACATGACCTCTTTCGACCAGCTTCGTGATCTGGGGGAGCTGACCTGCCCTTGACCCGAGGTCAACACCTCAAGTTGACCTCACCCGAACAAAAAGTATACCATTCGACGCGCCTGAGCGAGGCGAACACGATGATGCCAAAATCGCGGCTCTCCGACCGTTTTTTTTTTTTGCGAAGTTATGAAAAACTGAACCCTGGTACTTGGTCACTTGACCTGACCTCATGAGACCTTAAAATCGGGTACCAGTCCCTGCGTAGCTTGTAACGGCGCACACGCTTGTTTTTTCCGCGACGCTCTAGCTTCATCAGGGGCGAAACGGCGAGGGAAATCGTACCAACCAACCCCCCCCCCCCGGCCGGCGCGTATGTACAAAACCAATAGGTCTGGCGAGGGTTAATGTATCATTGAATGGGAACATGCAACATATGTATATTTGAGCTTGCACCGTGCTCAGAAAGGTTCAGAACAGCCGTTTTCACGACGGTTGACCGAAAGCGCCAAACTGGACTAAATCTCAAGGAACCTACCCTGAAAATTCCATGAACCTGACCCAAATGACCTTAGACCTGTAACCTTTTTTTGGGGGGGGGACCATGTCAGGGGGCCATAAAACATGCATCGCACAGCCCTATGTAGTAAATAGTAAAGTTGGTTCATGTGCTGACCCTTGGTGACCTGACCTGTGACCTGACATGGTATTATCAGTGACCTCTAATAGCAACATATATACTAGGCAACGTACGCCCTATTTTTAACGTACGCGAAACATTTTATCTTTGACCTGACCTGTGACGTCATCGGTGACCCTGAGGTCAATGAAATTGGAGTTCCGTCGACAAATTTGACAGGGCTATCGAACATCGTTTGAATGTCACGGATCCGTCCAGTAGTTTCGGAGATACGGGAGGGGGGCAAAAAAATGCCCCCCCCACCGCGCGGAAGGTGGCCGGGAGGTCCACCGCCTGCCGGGTTGATGAGAGCCTGATTGAAAGAGAATGTTTTTAGGCGAGCTTTTAAGGAATTCAATAAAAACACAAAATAAAATCATGCTACAAATTCCATTGCTTACCTCAGGAATGAAATCAGCCAGGAAAGAACAGCAATATCTTTAACCAGTAAAACGCCTTTTGGGGCGACCAACGGAGCGAGCGAGAGGGTGGGCCTTGGACAAGCGAATTTGCAAGGGACACCTCCAACTAACTTGTGCACGGCACCCTACTAACCGGTCCCTAGCGATGTGCCAAATTTGAGCGCAATCGGCCTAGCCGTTCTCGAGATCTGGAAGCGGCACCCTGCACGTGCACACGTGCAAAATGGGTCACAACTGACTTTTGCACGCCGCCCTACTAACTGGTCCCTAACCATGTACCAAATTTCAGCACAATCGGTTCAGCCGTTCTCGAGATCTGGAATCGACCCCTGCACGTGCGCACGTGCAGCAGCACCCCAACTCTGGCACATGGATATGCATTGCCTAGTGGGTGCCTAGCCAACTTTCAGCGCCATCGGCCAAGTAGTTACCG